CTGCATATAAGTTGAATAGGTAGGGTGATAGGATGCAACCTTGTCTGACTCCTTTGCCAATTGGGAACCATTCTGTTTCTCCGTGTTCTGTCCTGACAGTAGCCTCTTGCCCTGAGTGCAGATTCCTCATTAGAACTATCAGATGTGTTGGCAATCGCATGTCTTTAAGGATGTTCCATAGCCTTTCATGATCTATGCAGTCAGAGGCTATAAATAAACAGTTATAAATGTATTTAAAACAGTTACTAATAACAGATTTAAAAAATGAAATACAGCATACTACTTCACATATGCTACTGGTATATTTTTTTTATTAGATAGGGCCATATTTTAGCTCCTTTACCTTTTAGTTCTTCTTAAATTAATTATCTTGCTTCTGACCTGAATGTTGTCCAACAACATCCCCCTATACTGTACTGTTACCCCAAGGTCAGGCCCCTGATCACCCCTCAGTTTTGATATCAATTTAATATTAAAGGGGACACTGAGGTAGGTGACCTGGAAAGGCAACCACATTGCAGAAACCTGGCTATATCATATTTTGAAATCCAGTCGGCTCTAGCAAGGTAGGAAGCAAAGGCATCCACCACAATGAGATCAACCAAGATATCAGCATAATCCCTTTTTTCTATGAAGGGTGATGATGAGATCCCAGCTGAAGAAGGTGGCTGTGCATACACAAAATACACTTCTCTAATAGCAAAAGATTTCCTTTGTCTGAGATATTAATGCTAATTGTCCGAACATTTCCTCAGTCTCCCAACCATTCTGCTCTCTTGGAAAACCATTTAGCAGTGAGGTCATTCATTCATTCTGAGACTATTGCCCTGGTGTATGATTTTCAGTGTGTATACCACCACCTAGACAATAGCAATTTAGTCTAGTTTGGGACTGGACAACACAATCTGTTCATTCTACTAGTCTCCTCAATAAGCCAGCCAACCCACTTGCTGAGGTGGCTTTTGAGTCATCTCCGTTCAGGGTCAGTACCATATTATCATTAGCAAGGCCTTCACTTTTCCCCTCCTCCCACCGTTTGCTTAGCTAGTTCTTGTGTGTGTGTATGAGTGTGTGTTTGTGTGTTGCCTATTTTCTTAATAAAACTAAAGACCTTATTTGGAATCTGTGTGATTTGGAATCGGTATAAAAAGGGTTAAAATCCCAGGCTGAATGTTGCCCCAGCCAAAATATAATTTTATTTGAGCTATTAAAATCCCCTGAAACATATTAATTTGTGGGTGTGTTCTCAGGACCCCTAGCTTTGTGGGTAGCAAAGGGATGGTCAGATTCTTGGCTCAGGGGTTACACTACTGAAATCTCAACCCCCCTGGTGGCACTCACAAACACCACCATGCCCTGCAAATCTGAGTTGGAAGAGAGTATGAGGGCCATCCAGTCTAACCCCCCTGCCATGCAGGAATACAAATCAAAGTATCCCTGACTGACGGCTATCCAGCCTCTGTTTAAAATCCTCCAAAGAAGGATACTTCACCACTCTCCAAGGGAGTGTGTTCCACTGTCAAACAGCTCTTACTGTCAGGAAGTTCTTCCTAATACTGAGGTAGCATCTTTTTTCCTATAGTTTGAATCCATTGCTCCGGCTCCTAGTCTCTGGAGCAGCAGAAAACAAGCTTGCTCCATCCTCAATATGACACTTCTCCAAATATTTAAACAGACAATTTAAACATTGGTTAGTTCTGATTATTGAACTAAGCCAGTGTAACAAAAAACAAAATAAAAGATATGCTAGTGAGAAAACATAAACTGCTAACCTATCGCACAGCTTAAAAAAACAACTTACCTCTCCTGAGTTGAAGTCTCATTCGGGCTGCAGCTGGGCTCTGTCACATGGATTTTTGCTGCTGAATCCACCAAAGTTGGGCTGTAGCCTGGCTGCACTTGGCCAGCGGATTTGGCGGCAAAATCCATGCGACTGAACCCAGTTGCAGCCCAAATAAGACTTCAACTTGGGAGAGGTAAGTCGCTTTTTTAAGCTGTGCGATAATCTCCCTATATTGAACCCAAGAAAGGAGCCACATTAAAGGGTTACTAGATGATGCAAATAGATGGTTTATGTAATCTGATGTGTGGCAGCCAAAACTAAGCAGCCACTGAATATTACACCACAGTGCAAAAGGCCACTGAGATCTCTTCTCTTTACTGGAGGAGAATATAATGTACATAAGTGGGGGCTAGTAGACATTTCTTATCTGATTGGCTGACTGAAGGTTACTAAGGGTATAATACTGGCCAAGTATAGATAAGACAGGAGGCAAACCAAGAGTCAGCCCTCCACGTTTAAAGATGGCTTTAAGGCTAATAATACTACTATTCCTATCATATAATATACCCACACAATGCTGTTAAAGTCTAAATTTTGTTAAAGATATATTTCCCATATGCTTGTAATGGTTGGTGTTAGATATAGTAATGCCCCAGAATATTCACAGAATCAAAGAATCATAGAGTTGGAAGAGACCACAAGGGCCATCCAGTCCAACCCCCTGCCATGGAGGAACTCACAATCAAACTGTTCCCGACAGATAGCCATACAGCCTCTGTTTAAAGACCTCCAAAGAAGGAAACTCCATCACTCTCTGAAGGAGTGTGTTCCACTGTCAAACAGCTCTCACTGTCAGGAAGTTCCTCCTAATGTTCAGGTGGAAACTCTTTTCCTTCAGCTTGCATCCATTGTTCCGGGGCATGTTCTCTGGGGCAGCAGAAAACAAGCTAGCATCCTCCTCAATATGACATCCCTTCAAATATTTAAACAGGGCTATCATATCCCCTCTTAACCGTCTCTTCTCTAGGCTAAACATACCCAGTTCCCTAAGTCATTCCTCGTAGGGCATGGTTTCCAGACCTTTCACCATTTTAGTCACCCTCCTCTGGACACAGTCCCGTTTTTCAACATCCTTTTTAAATTGTGGTGCCCAGAACTGGACACAGTATTCCAGGTGCAGCCTGACCAAGGCAGAATACAGTGGCACTTTTACATCCCTTGATCTAGATACTATACTTCTATTAATGCAGCCTAAAATTGTATTGGCCTTTTTAGCTGCGGCATCACACTGTTGACTCATGTTTAACTTGTGGTCTACTAGGACACCTAGATCCTTTCACACGTAGTCTCGTTAGGCCAGGTGTCCCCATCTTATATCTATGCATTTCTTTTTTTCCCCTTTTTTGCCCTAAGCGCAGTACCTTACATTTCTCTGTGTTGAAATTTATTTTGTTAGCTTTAGCTCAGTTTTCTAATCTATTAAGGTCATTTTGAATTTTCATCCTGTCTTCTGGGGTATTAGCTATTCCTCCTAATTTGGTGTCATCTGCAAATTTGAGAAGCATGCCCCCTATTCCTTCATCCAAATCATTGATAAAGATGTTGAATAGCACTGGGCCTAGGACAGAACCCTATAGCACCCCACTGATCACTTCTCTCAAGGATGAAGAAGAGCCATTGCTCAGCACCCTTTATATATCAGGGATATTTACACCTGTGAAGAGATCCAGGACTTAAATCCTGGAAGTCAGGTGGAGAGCATCTGGATAAAAATTAAAGAGGAAGGAAACAACTTTGGGTTCGGTCAGTCAACCAGTTACTAATCTACCTAATAGTTGAATTTTCTAGCCCACATTTTACTATCTTGTTTGCAAGAATATCGTGGGGGACCTTGTCAAAAGCCTTACTGAAACCAAGATATGCTATGTCCACCTCATTCCCTTCATCTAGCAAGCTGGTAATTTTATCAAAAGAAAGTGATCAGATTAGTCTGGCATGACTTGTTTTTGAGAAACCCATGTTGACTTTTAGTGATTATGGCATTCCCTTCTAAATGTTCACAGACTCTCTGTTTAATGAACTGTTCTAGAATCTTTCCTGGTATTAATGTCAGACTAACTGGACAATTTTTGAAGATGGGGACAATGTTTGCCCTCCTCCAGTCTACTAGGACTTCTCCTGTTCTCCAGGAGTTCTCAAAGATTATTGCCAGTGGCTCCAAGATTACATTTGCCAGTTCTTTTAATATCCTTGGATGTAGGTCATCTGGTCCTGGAAACTTAAATTAATTTAGGTTAACCAGGTATTCCTGTACTTCCTCTTTACTTATTCTGTGCTGCATTTCTCCTATTGTGTCCTCTGCTAATAATAAAATTAATAATAAATTTTTATTTATAAGCCGCCCCTTTGCTTGGCAATCGGAGCGGCGAACAACATATTAAACAAGGAACAGTTAAAATATGCCCTAATCCCATGCCCTAACC